ACATAAACAACACACACACACACACACACACATAAACAACACACACACACACACACACACGCACACGCATACACGCACACGCATACACACACACGCGCACAAATACACACACACACACACACACACAAACACATAAAGAGCCATGAAACCTTTAGCACCCGTCTCTAGATTCTCTAAATATCAACAACATAATGAGCTGAAAAATCAGAGGCACATGCTGTAATATCTTGGAAACTGCAAATTTACATTTTTCGCGCATTTAATCAACGTTGGTTTTTTTTTTTTTGTGGGTAAAATCTTCACATAAATGTGTTATAAATGGACATAAACGGTGATGAACCAAAAAAGAATACTCAATAAAAATCGCCTGCCAGGTGGAAAAATGTCAGTCTCTTCCTTTCATTTATTTGACGAGCCCCTGATTTCACCACGATGCCACACGTGTATGTACATACCTGAGTTCCGAATCCACTCAGCATAGTAATGGTCATAGCTCTGAGAGGGATTCGTCACATAGCCAGTGACATGGGCCACGCACTTCTGCCTCAGGACGCCCATATATACTTGAAGTCCAAACATTGCAAACACCATGAGGCAAAACATCGTCAGCAATATGACTTCAAATAGCATCTTGAAAGCTCGAAGCAAAGCATTTACAATAGTTTTCAACCCTGTGGACAAAAAAAAAAAGAGCAAGTTCTGTGAAAGTGGACGCTTAAACGTGTATGAGCACCGACTAGATAGAGAAAAGGTCATTTCCTTAATTGTTTAACATTTATCGTCCTTTATTTCTTCTCATTCTTTTGTGTGCTGTTACTGTCTTGTAAAACCTCTAACCTCAGCACTTATATTATGACCTAACTGTGTTGCACGTGCCGTAAAACGCTTACTAAAACTAATTGTTTATCACCTTTATTGTCTCCAACGCACAAATAAAACTTTTTGAAGGTACACTATACATCGTGGGCCGTTGGAAGCATATTTTGGACAGGCAGTACCACCAATGGACAGATTGGCACGAAATATCACTATACAAAATATACAGAAAGTGCAAAAGGAAAACGCTGCTTCTATAAACGAGAGAAATGTTAAGCACAGATATTCATGTTAAATAGCATAAAGCGCATTCGTAACACAGTTTTTCCAAAACAGTCTTTTAAGGACCAGTATGACAAAAGCTACTAAGATAAGATAAGACAAGACAAGGCAAGATCAGACAAGATAAGACATTATTGTCAAAGAGGGAATTTTTTCTTTGCTGCACATGAGCCGTAAAAACGCAAGCAGGTATTACATAGAAATTGAATTATATATTATTCTCATTAAAACTCAATATGAAGAGATAGACTAGTGAAGTTAGATGTCAAACAACGTTACTTAGAAAGAGGCCAATTGCAAGCAGATTTATCACCAACGTTAACCGTTCAATGAGTTCAGAGCAGATTTACTCCAAGGCGATGTGAACACGCACAAACTAATAAATCATCGTGAGGACTCACCAGGCACAATGGAAACAGTTTTCAGGGCTCTTAGGACTCGGAATGTCCGGAGACCTTGAAGATTCCCTACAGTGACCGAAGGATCCGCAACTTGAACCAGAATTGTTAAAAATCTGAAAAAGAAAACGTTAGTGTTTGGGTTCACGAAATGCAAAACTACGATAACAATATTGGTTACATACAAAGTTTCAGGAATAATAACTAAACGACAGGAAGAAATAAAAGAAGAACTAAAGAGGCCAAGGGGAAAAGGCCTTCATAGTAGTACACAGGTGTTCATGGGCGATTCATAATGACAAAGTCCAAGTCCTATCCCCTGTTCGGCAACTTCTGCTATATACATGCATGGAAAATCTTGGACCAGCAAAAAACGTAATATTTTTCCTGCAAAATTCAGTCTCTGTAAAAAAGCAAAAGAATAAGATGGTGATTTAGGACTAAGATGGGTGTGGTACGTTTTGCTTTAACGCTTCTTTAAACACTGCAGGGTTCTTGAAGAGGTAGATCCTCCTAATTCAATGTTAACTTCCGATAGGATCAAGCAAAGTAGATAAAGAGTCTTGAAAATCTCCCCAACAGTCCAACCTCAAGAACGCCCTATTAGAAAATTGAACAAGACTCATCTGCACAAGTATACCAACTGAGTTAATGGAATGAGATTGCAAAGGTATCAATGACAAAAGACGAAGTGGTACTCACGCAGTTAAGATGACCACAAAGTCCAACCAGTTCCAAGGGTCCCTCAGGTAAGTGTGTTTGTTCAGACAAAATCCCCTGCTTATCACTTTGACAATGCACTCCAGGGTGTAGATGGCTAAAAACAAGTACCTGAAACATAACACGACATAATGAAGAACGTATACAGACTCGTCATATAATATACTCAAAACTATACTTCTAGCTTGCGTCCTCCGTGAATTTTAAACGAGAAAAAATAGTGAACATTTAGGCCAATATTGCGATAGACTTAAGACAAACAGACAAACAAAAACAAACAAGAAAAAACAAACAAAAACATTTAAATGCAGTTATGCCTTGTTCCAAAATGGAAAGCACAGGACCATTACTGGGGTTTGAAAAAATATGCTCAAACTAGTCAAAGGGGGAATCAATCCTTTTTAGCTAACGTATTTCTATTTTGCATTACACTAAAAACACACAGGTAGGCCTATTATGGCATCATTATCCAACTATCCAATCTCATAAACATGCATGCCTGATCAATGCATCCAGAGTAACTCCATCTTAGACCCTCTGCATGCGATAAAATCATACCTGTGTGTGTGTGTGTATGGGGGGG